ATAATTATTGTATAAACATATATATATATATATATATATATATATATATATATATGTGTGTGTGTGTGTGGAAGTTCAAACGAGAACACCTCTATTTTACGAGAACACGAGAACATCATTATCACATGTGATAATACACTTGAGGGGACTTGGTGGTGTATGGATATCGTGCCTTGCGACTTAGGTCGCACCAAAGGTCATCTGAGTTTATAATTTAGTATCATATGTGATGATCTTGATGGATTATAATATCACATTAATAACAGATTTATCACATGTGATAGTACATGTATGGGGGCTTAGTGGTGTAATGGGTGACTTGACCTACAACCTAGATTGTGTCAAAAATCATACACGTCTCTGATTTAGTATCACATGTGTATCATATGTATCAAATAATATTTATCACATGTGATTGTTTATGGTAAAAGGGTGTTCTCGCGTTCTCTTAAAATGAAAGTGTTCAATTTGCTAACAACTAGTTTAATAAATATAACCTACAATATGCTTTACTTCGTTATTTTCACCGTTCTATCTTTCCGACCATCATATTACAACATGACGTAATGGGTATGAGATTTAACGTACAGTAATTGAACTATCTGATTAAGCATGAATTAGGAAACAAAAAACATGCGAATTGTGGATCAGATTTATTATGTCTGTTACAGTATCCAAAACAAACCATGTTAGTTCATTACAGTACAATCAAAATGGAACTTAATAAATTAATGTATATTTCTCGCATTTTAATAAAAAAGGTTAACGCATACTCGTAGTAACGTGCTGATCAAAATTCATCTTATCAACAGTTAAATGTCTAAAATATTTTAGCATAAAATATTTATCAATTCAATATGTTTTAATTTTAATCACGATAGGATTAATATGTTACAGTAACTTATACCAAAGGGCGTTTGGCCTAGCGGTATCATAACCCTTGGCTTCCTAGGAGGTCAAGGGTTCAAACCTCACCAAAGATGAGTAGAGTGTGTGAGTTTATTTGTTGTATTTGCCGTATATAAATATTATATACTTCAAAAAAAAAAATGTTACAGTAACTTAAAAAATTCATAAAAAAATTAAGTAAAATGTTATTACAATTCACAGTAAACTAGAATCAATAGTTTTTATTGACATCAAAAAATCATGATTATTATAACCAGATTGGATTCATGTGAGATACGATTTTTACACTTGAAACTTCACAACAAAATTTTGTGAAAGACCGAATCTTCACAACAAACACTGTGAAAGTTCCTTTTACAATGTTTTGCTGTGAAGTTTCAAGTGTAAAAATCGTGTCTCACGAAAACAATCTTGTTGATATAACAAAAAATTTATATAACAAAAAAGCAACAACAGTATGTTGATAGCTGGCAGTCTCATGTTATTTACCGTTTGTTTTTTTTATATTTTCTTTTATGGAAATAAATTTATAATAAAAAAATATAAATAATAACATAAATGGTATGTTGATAACCTCATAGTACATACGTTTTTTTCTTTTTATGGAAATAAATTTATGGTAAAGAAAATGTAAAATATATCATTTAAAAAAACGTACAAAAATCCCAGAAATTAACGAAAATAGCTGATATTTTCAATCAAATTCATTTTTTAACCATTTTTTGAACTGAATTTCATTTTAGCGCTGTACATAAATACTACAGTATCTATGTAAACTTTGTTTTCAGTTATCAGAAAAAACAAAAAAAAAATCCTTATGCAAATTTGCGTATTTAAAAATATAAATATAAAAATAGGTTTTATACAAAACCATAAGAAAATTATATAAACTCTGTTTAAAATGAAAATTTAATTATAAAATAAATAAAAAAATAAATTTGGGGTTATATTGAAATTAATATTATATGCATTTAATATTTTCCATATTTGATTAATATCAAGATATAATAATTAATTTAATTTCCATTAATATAATAAACATATTTATAAAATTCAAAATTTAGGTGATGATTTTCTGAATTTTCGAAAAAAAGGGATTTAGGGATAATTAAAATAAAGGCAAGCTTGAGCTGTTGCCTGTTGGAGCCGACTTCAACCTTTATAATTCCGATAATACCCATCGTTTGTAAGCGTATTGCACCCCACCCATGAGACAGAAACCATGGGCAAATTAGTAATTAACCTCAAAGCCAACGCCTCTAACACTCGGGAGAGGGCGCTGCTACGGCTCCGAACGAACCTTCGATTTTCTTAAGCTCCAAACTCAAGAACACATCTTATTATGATTAGAATCTTCCACAAAAAGGTGAAAATCCCTAAATTCCCAGAAAATCCCACCTTAAATTCTCCAAAAAAAATCGATTCAGCTTCGTATAAACCCTAAGAGGACGAATTTTACGCGCGATTCTCGGTGACAACTGAAGGTATATATACATATATATTCTGAATTAATCTTTTATTCGTTTGATTAGTTTTCCATCGACCGATTTAGCTTATAAGTTTCGGAATAATTTGTTTAATTCGTATTTTTGTTGTCTGGATTGAACTTCTAGGGTTTCAATTTCAAAGGGTGTAGATTTGTGAGGATTGGGTGTATTCAGTTGTTGAATTATTTGCATGTATTTGATCTGTGTGTGCCGAACTAAAATTGAGATCAAAAGTTGTACTCTGATTTGATTATACTTGCAAGCCAATTTTTTTTCTAGTCAATTAGCTAATTAAGGTGGTTTCCCAGTTTTGGGGATGTATAGTTACAATATATATATATATATATATATATATATATATATATATATAGAAAGTATGAAATTGTTTGATGTTGGATCAATATAGATTAAATTTGATAGAGATCAGCTGATCATTTAGGGAATGGTTTGGAAGGATGGTCCTTGTTGAGTTGGTTAATGCATAATTTTAGAATTGCTGTCAGTAAGCTTATGAAGATTGATTGTTTTTTTCTTTGGCTTGATCATTAAGATAAAGAGATATTGTTATATGCAATGCTGAATAGCTTGTGTGTTCGTTGCATGATAAATGAGATACCGAAAAGATTTTAAACGAGAACCTTAAATATTTTGGGAACATGTGAACCAGCTGTTCATGTATTATTCCTGATGAATGTTGCGATAGATATTCATTACTAAAATTATTCAGAATGAACATTTGCGATATTTATGATGAATAATGAATATTTAGGGTTATCTATCATGAATAATAAATGAAATAGTTGGTTCCTAGGTTCTTAATAAATATTTATGGGTTTTCATTTGAACGTTCCTCATTAAAGTAATTAGGGAGAGTATTAAATAAGCAAAAGCGATTACTATAGGCTATCTATTAGCCATTGACGTTCGAAGATTCTCACGTGCATATCTATCATTATTATTGGCAGTGATCGCAGCAAGTGTTGTGCATCTATTACATGTCTGTGTGTTGCAAATGAAAATAGTTGGACTTGGGAAAGTATTTAGGAATTAGGATGATAATTTATGGCATTAAAGAGATGTGACGTCATCAAGAAACATTCTAGTGTTTTAGATGCTTATCATTTTCCGTCTTACCAATTAGCTGCATGTGAGATTCTGAACCCAAAATCATGTTCATAATTTTGGTCTTTGGCAGCTGATGATGAGAAGATTGTAGTCAAATTATATAAATGTCGACCATTAGATTCCTGCTAGAAGTAGGAGCCTGGTGGGTCTAGAAAAACGATAGATTTCACTGCAAAATATTGAGGTTATGATTTCTGATCACATGTAAGAAGGGACTTGATTTTCGTTGGTACATAGTATTTGGTCTTTTGTTACTTTTTCATATAATTCTTATGAACCTTGTTCAGCCATCTGTTATGTACCTTCTTTATTACATTTCTTTCATAACAGTGTTTTTTTAAAGATTTCAGAAGTATGTTAATTTAGTTATGTCACCCAGGTAATGTTTGCATTTCAACTGTGAGTTGAATCCATCTATTTAAATCTCTATCTTCTTCTGGTGGAAATGCGCGTGTCTGTGTAACTATTTTTTATTCTCCTTACCTTACATGGCTAGGTGCCTTGTTTTGATAGGGTGAATCTATCAAATATTACCATATTTTCCAGCATGGTTTCCCTCATAATCACCAACTGATTTGTGCGTTTCGCTTTTTGGGTGTGTTTGTGAACCAAATTTCAAAATCAGGCGATTACATGCAAATAATGTTTGATTAATTCATAAAATAGTAGAAGGGGAATTCAAAATATTGTAGAAGAAATTAAGAGATGGATGACAAATTTGTTTGACATGCGCCTTTCAATCTTCACGTGTTACTTCCATTCATGATGCATGACTGCCTTTTCAAATATATATATATATATATAGGGTATATATATATATATAGGGTATATATATATATATATATATATATATATATGGTCAAGTTCAAGGGAAGACCACAAAAAAATAAAAAACTAAGGAACACCCTGATAACCGTTCATATGGACTATGCACATGTGCATACAAGTAATTTGTAAGCAATTTGTCCGGTATGCACTTGTGCATAACATGCATCGTGCATAAAAACCAAGAAACAACTTCAGTTACTTGTATGCACATGTGCATACCGTCCAACTGAATGGTTACCGGGGTGTTCTTTAGCTTTTCATTTTTTTGGGGGTTTTCCCTGAACTTCCCTCTCTATTTTATATATTAATCATAAGAGACTATACGGGTTTTTTGATGGGAGAGTTCTACACAATTGATACTAGTTGAAAAGAGTGGGGGAAATGCATAGGAAAGGATAGAAACTTGAAAGTTAAAATCTTATTTGTGACAGTTTCTAATTATGATTCGACTTATTTTCTAATAGAATGCTTCTGTTGGGCGTCCTTTATTTGATTTCTAAATTTGATAACTACCTTCCAACGGTTCATGGCTGATTTACTTAGTGTACCGCCTTATTGTTTTTTAGATCTTCATTCGATTATAGTAGAACAATTATAATGGCCTCTAAACCCACTTACGTATTTATGATCATTAATAGCGTGTATACTAGGATATCATTGGTTGGAACTTGTGTCGGCAGTACTTGCAACATTTCAGAACCCTCCAAAAGCATGTTTTTAGTACTCCCCCCGTCCCAAAATAAGTGTCCACTTTCAAAAGTAAGTGCCTACTTTCCAATTCTACCCTTAATTATGAGACAAAGACTTCATTACTTTCACCCTTATTCAAGGGTAAAATTGTCATTTAGTTGATTAAAAATTGTGATATAATGCGTTTCTAAAACTATGTGCCTTTTTTATTGTGGACATTTATTTTGGAACAGAGGGAGTAATTTAATAACCTCTATACAAGCTGATTGAGATGCAATAATATGATGAAATAACCCTGTTGCTCTGCTCACCCAAAAAAATGGTCGTAACTTAGCTGAATTTTGTGACTAGTGTCTTCATTGTCATCCCTTTTGTTCATGAATTTGTGTAACTGAAATGATTCTGTTTCTGCTGTCCCTACAACACAGCCTTAGCTCTTTAATGCTGTTTGTAGAGACATATACTGTTAATTTTTTTGTTTCTGATATAGTCATCGTTTTGGTTAGAGATGGCCAACATGGGCCCAGCACGGGACTGATTGGGATCGGTTACGATTTTTATGAAAATTGAAGGCCTGGCCCGTCTCGGGAGCGGTTTCGGGACCGGGACCCGTTATACATAGGCCCAATTTTTTTTTTAAAAATTTACGTTTTTATGAATTATATATCAAGTTCTTCAAGATTTATACAAGATTTTCAAGTTTTTATTTTACCAAAAACTTCAATTTTCTTTAAAGTTTTTCAAGTTCTTTTTGAAGTTTTCCAAGTGTTCTAATACTAAATTTTAAAAATCCTAATTATAGAAACGTTTATAACCATTTTATGTTAAAAAGATTTTGAATGTATTTGAATGACCCAAGTAGAGATTTAAAGTGTATTTCAATAATATATTTTATAAAAAAAATCTTCAAACCTTTTCTTTATATGTTTAAAATTAATTTTTGGGAAAAAAAAGTTGAGAATGATTGGGCCCGGCCGGGACTGGATTTTGTCCATATCTGGTTCCGGCTACAATATTCTACAGTTTGATATGAAGCTGGAATTTTAACCAACTGCAAGAAGCCATTTTATAAGCTAACTACAACTTAGTTGGTTTAACCTTTTTAATTTGAGGCTTATGCTTTTATTTTTCATTTTTAGGTTTATTCTTCTTTTGGCGTTACGAAATTTGAGCCTCGCTTTCATGTGCTTGGTACTGCTCTCTTGTCATGCACAACTGTGTTAACAGGGTTTGTAACGTGGAGACTGTTTATAAACTGATGCAATGGCATCATCTGGTAAATTTGATCTGTCATCAGATAGCCCAGATAGACCGTTATACACTACTGGGCAGCGTGCTTCTTATATAACTGGTTCAATGGATAGATCAGCCAGTTTTAGTGAGAATATGGAAAATCCCATTTTATCATCTCTTCCAAGCATGTCAAGGAGCACTTCAACCGTAACACAAGGGGACGTGACTAATTTTTTACAATGCTTGAGGTTTGATCCCAAGTCAATGGCTGCTGAATATAAGTTCAACCGCCATGGGGATTTTAAGCGGCTTGCAAGTGGTGCACTAGGTATACCGGATGATTCACCATCTGGTGCTTTCAAAGGCAAACCGACTTCTTCATCTAGTGAAGATCTTAAACGACTAAGGGCTGGTCTGCGTGAATCCACCATCAAGGCCAGGTAAGTTTTTAATTGCTAGTTTTGGGATGTGTTTGATACGCCCAACAGGACGGGCCAGGATAGAAGCAAAACTTGTTGTCCCACATTTGCGGTGTGAGATAGACTGGGGAAGGATGGGGCTGAGTGGGACAAAATGCAATTTTTTTTTTCCCGGACCAAGATTGGTATAGTACTAAACTACCCATGTGAAATTAAAAATTCTTTCCCCTACCTAGCCCATTCTCGTCAGCCTTGTCCAGTCTCATCATGTACCAAACGCACCTTAGGGTGCGTTTGGTACACTGGATAGGACTGGACAAGGATCACCGTTCCACGTTTGGTAGGACTTTTATGTGGAACATAGTAGAACAGGGTGGAACAAGCGTGTTTCACCCCCCACCCCATGGAACAAGCTGGAATTATGTTTTACAAATATAACCTCAAAATAAAACCTAATTCTCTTCTAAAACATCAAATACACTTTCCTTTTTACATTTTATTCATTATTTAAATTAGGTTTGTTGTATTTTATGCTCTTTAAATTTTCACTTTACCATCCTCAAAATATTATTTTTATACGGTTTCTATATTTTGATTAATTTATGTAATTCATTAAATATTTTAATGATAAAAAATAATATAGAAAAGGTGTAAAATAAAATAATTGGAAACCACATAAACCTTTTATTTTGGTGTCATTTTAGTCGTGTTGCCGGAAACTTTATGATGACATATTTTGTTATGAAAAATATTTATTTTATTATAAGTTAATAAATTACATAATTAATCAAAATATATAAACAACTCATTAGGGATAAATTGGTCATTTTATCTGTTCCCTCCTTTCTAGTTTTGTCTTACCAAACGCTGAACAACTGTACTGTTCTGTTCTATCTGTCTGGATACCAAACGCACCCTTGAGGATCACAGCTGTATTCAGTTCATGAATTTCTATTATCTATCTATCTATCAGGGAGCGAGTGAAGATCTTCAGTGAGAGCTTGTCGGTTGTCAACAAGTGTTTTCCAAGTATTCCTTCGAGGAAGAGATCACGTCCAGATTCTTTGTCTGGTGATCCTGCTAATGGCTTACTCGCTGATCGTGCAGTTATGGGGGGTGGTGTTGGTAAGATAGGTACCCAGAATCATGTTCCCACTAGCGTTTTCGACTTTGAGCCTCAGAAAGTTGAAGAAAGAGGGAAAAATACCGTTCCTAACAAACGAACCAGAACTTCTATGATGGATCAAAGGGTTTGTATCTTGATTTTAGTTCTCTTCTTGCTTGTTATTTTGTAGAATTTGTGTAACATGCTTTACTCTCATGGGTAACTATATCAGAATTTTTCTGTTTGATTGATGTCTCTGATTCTTGTATGGTGATCTCTCTTCTATATGCTTCACGTTGCAGCGTCTGTTTCACCTACTGTGTGCATGCTTCATCCCATTTCGTTGGTTATATTTAACAAATTGTAAATAAACCTTCTTTGTGCACACACATACACACATATATATATATATATATATATATATATATATATATATATTCATTTTGACCGGAGCTTTTTGCATATTTGTAGCTCAAAATTTGTGATATTTAAATGCTTTGTTATGAACAAGTAGTTGGTTATTCTGCACTTGTGAGTTGAATCGTAGTTAAGTTTGGTGGCCTAGATTTGGGGCCTGTTTGTTAGCAGCTTTATGAGCTTAACGGGACTCACAGCTTCTAGGGGGAGCTTTATGCAGAAAGCCAAGTTTTTTCCAAACCTGCCCTTCCCAATTAAAAACATGCTCCTCCCATATATGAAAAAACCCTCCTAAGACAAAAAAGCTTTCTCGATCTATACAGACATATTAATCCACAAAGACAGCTTTATCCATACAGAACTTAATGGAAAACCAACCAAATAGCCCCTTATTGTTGATTTGAAAAAAGGAACCAGAGCCTCATTGAATTGTCTTCATCATCCTCTTACTCATATTTTCTGTTCTATGAACTGTTTCTTTCTTATGACTTTTATTGGTTTTCATTCTTTTGTAAACCTGATTTTGAATTTTGACTGGAATAGGCGGATGCACGTCCTAACACTCCTGCTAGATCAACTGCAAGTGTAGACAAGGATAAAGAAGTGTTAAGACCTTCCTCTAGCAATGGTCTTCAGGGCGAGGGTCGTGCATTGCCCATTGTATCTGATGGTTGGGAAAAGGCTAAAATGAAGAAAAAGCGTTCTGTAATAAAGGCAGATGCTGCTTCAAGTCCAAGCCCAGTGTCAACAAAACTGATTGACGGATACAGAGAACCGAAGCAAGGAATACATTCGAGGCACCTTACAGATGGAAGGTCAAGGTTAACCGATTCCTACGGATTCAGGTACCAACTCTCATATCTACAAGTTAGGGCCTGTTTCTTAGTAGCTTAATGAGCTTAATGTGACTCACAGCTTATTTGGTCTTCTATACTTGACTGTTTGGTAGTGGCTTAATGGTATAGAAAGTGGCTTATACAATAAGCTTCTAGGGAGAGCTTTATGCAGATGGCCAAGTTTTTTCCAAACCTGCCCCTCCCAATTACAAAACTATGCTCCTTCATCTCTGGCAAAACCCTCCCAAACAAAAACCTTCCCAATCTATATAGACATATTAATCCACACATACAGCATTATCTATCTTGTTCAAAGTGCTAAAAAAGGGAAATGGATGTATGGTACCTCAGTATTTGAATTTTATATTTTTCTGTGATCTAGCTCCATCTCACACGTATCCTGTTGTAGGCCTGGAGCTGCTAATGGGGTCATTGGAGCAGGAAAAGCTGATGGAATCTCCCAACAAGCTAGTATGGGTGGACGTTCATCCATCCCGAAGCCCGAGCAGGAGAGCGTGTCCCTCCATGATAAAAGAGAGAGAATCAATAGTTCAGATAAAGAAAGGACAAATAACCGAGCTGTTAATAAGTAAGGCAGTAATTTGTCACTCTGTTGTTTTTATTTTGGCAAATTGCATGAAAACACAACGTACTTCGGTCGAATTCCTATTTTGAGTAACTTTCAGACCTTTCATTTTGGTAACTAAGATTGACATCTCGAAGATTTAGGTACCTGGTTTACCTAATAACCTGAAAATGCTGAATATTTTCGAAAATTAATGATGGGAAATTTTCTTTGATTTGTCGGCATTTAAAAAATAAAAAATCAATGCCATGCCAGCAAAATCCTGATCTTATCAAGCATTTTCTGGTTCTGGGTATCTGTCCCAAAATGAAGGTTTAAAAAGTACGTTACCTAAAATAGGATTCAGTCCAAAGTACGTTGCATTTTCATATCAACACGACTAGCTATTTGTTTTAGAATCCTTTCTTCACTTAATGCTTACATGTTCTTTTCTCATCTGAGTCTATATCTAATTTAGAATTCTCTTTCACAAGGGTAGATTGTTTTATAATGTTCTATGCTAATATTAGGGCCGTTGTCCGAGAAGAATTCATTTCTGGTAGTCCCACCAGCTCAAGACTTCATGGAACTGCTCGAGGGCCAAGATCAGGAACAGGTGTTGGGCCTAAATTTTCCCCGGTGGTACAACGGGCAACTGCTTCTAATGATTGGGACTTACCTCATGGTACAAGTAAGAGCCCTGGAGCTGTTGGTTCCACCAATCGTAAACGTACGCTATCCGCACGTTCTTCATCTCCACCAGTAACACAGTGGGCTGATCGGAGGCCCCAGAAAATATCACGTACCGCAAGGAGAACCAATCTTGTCCCAATTGTATCTAGTAATGACGAAATTCCCGCTCTGGATCCCAGTGATGTTACTGGTAGTGAAAATGGGCCCGGGTTTGCTAGACGGTTTCAGAACTCTCCTCGGCTGGCCAAATCAAAAGGTGATCATCTTCCGTCATCTGCACTATCAGAAAGCGAGGAGTCGGGTGTTGCTGAATTTAGATTTAGGGACAAGGGCAAGAAATTTGATGAAGTGGAAGATAAAAGTGGACAAAATGTTCAAAAGATGTCAACTCCATTCCTCCCAACGAGAAAAAACAAGCAGGCGAATGGGGAAGATCATGTCGATGGAGTCCGTAGACAAGGCAGAACTGGGCGTGGTTTTGGTCCTGCACGGGTTGTTAACCAAACGACGGTTGAAAAGCGTGGCAACATGGGAACTGCAAAACAACTTAGAACTGCCAGACTTTCTTTCGACAAGTCTGAAAGGTTGTACATTTTGGTTTTACAAGATGAATGTTACTCCATCCATCCCAAAATAAGTGTTCACATTTATATTTGATTTTGTCCCAAAATAAATGTCCACTTTCAGAACTGTGTGCCTTTTTCTTATTGTAAACGTCTATAGTTTTGGACAGAGAGTATTTCTTTCTAGCAGACCCCTTTGTTTTTCTTATCTGACTGTTTTTGATTTACATATTTTATGAAATATTCACAGTAAATCAGGTAGACCACCCACTAGGAAACTTGCAGACCGCAAAGCATATACACGCCAAAAACACACTGCAGTTAATGCTGCTGCAGATTCTCTTGGTAAATTGACTATTCATTATGAATATGATTGTAAGTTTGCATTTTTTTATCTTCTTCCCCCTCTTTTAACCATGATCACTTCTCTTAGTTGGCTCAGTTGACGGACACGAAGAGCTTTTGGCAGCAGAGAGTGCAGTTATTAATTCTAGTACGTTTTCATCGGCTGCAATCCAAATTTCTAGTTAGGACACTTGACGGTAATTCTGATTGATGGAATGATGGTTGCAGGTCATGCATTATCCAGCCCATTCTGGAGGCAAATGGAACCATTTTTTGCTTTTTTATCCGATATGGACATATCCTTTTTGAAGCAACAGGTGATTATTCAATTCAAAATCCGGGAGAACGATTTATTAAGATGTTAAATGTTAAAATGCCATTTAACTATCTTCCATTTCCATTTTTCGATGTTCTATAGGGAAGTATTCAATCCATTGTCACTACCACAAATCCAGTATCTTTAGACGTTGATAGTTCCAATACGTTTTCTAACGGGCCCAAAGTGGTTGAACCTGCAAAGAACGGAACAAACAGAAATCTTGAAGTAAACCCTGAACTGTTACTGCCAGAAACATCAAATCCCGGGGGAACTCCCCTCTGTCAAAGACTTCTTGCTGCTCTAATTACAGAAGAAGACGATGACCCAACCTGCAGTGGAAACGATGACCTCAAATTTAATGTCTATGGATCCACATTCGAGCTTGGAACAGATGCAGAATCAGAAGTTTTCAGTCAGCCGTCATTGCAGAACTTGGAGCTTAATGGGCATGATGCTTTTGGTGTTTATGGGAAAATTTCCTCACCAAGATCCTATAACCATAGAATGTCGATGCCCGTTTCAGAAATTGCTAAAGGTCTTGATCACTCCTACAGTGGTCTACTTTCAGATCCAGAGATGACATCTGGCACAACCTGTTCAGAATATCATTATGGCAACATGTCCATGAACGAAAAGCTACTTCTTGAAATTCAGAGCATTGGACTCTACCCGGAACTAGTGGTTGGTGCTCTTTTTACCTCTTCACATTCTTGATTCTTCCCCTCTTTCTAAAATGATCAATTCAATTCTTCCTGCACGTGTGTGCGTAGCAGAAAAAAAAGCTATGGCATGGGTTTGTTGTGCTTTGTAATAAGCTAGTTGAATTTGCACATTATTTTCGCAGCCTGATTTAGCACACACTGGGGATGAGGACATCGGTGAGGATATCAGTGACCTGGAAAGAAAGCACCATGAACAGGTAGAAATCTCTTTAAAGAAAGTGGAAACTTTTATGTTGACCTGTGCTTTCTGATGTTGGTATATCAATCTTTTTTAATCCTCATCTGATAGTCTAGTCAACTAATAGGTTTTAAGGAAGAAAAGCCTGCTCGACAAATTGTTAAAGTCTGCTACAGAAGCAAGGGAGCTTCAAGAAAAGTAAAGGGCTTCCTTAATTCCCACTAAATTATTTTCATTCCAGTTCCCTTTTGCTCAACTTTTCATGCTTCATTTCTAATTTGACCACTTGTATGTTTGTAGGGAATTTCAGCAGCATTCTCTTGACAAACTCATCGGAATGGCTTATCAGAAGTACATGGTAATGCTTATTGAACACTATCTCTTCTTACCATCTGCATTCATTAAACATGCGGTGATTTTAGACTCACAACCAGTGTACACATATCCGGAGGATAACAGTAGGAACGTGTTTTATTGTGTGCCTGTGCTTATAATGTCTCTGCTATTCGTTGTCACATCTTAAATCCCCATGGAAATTCGGCGATCTTACATTTTCCTTTAAGTTTGTTTTCAAGCCATTATCCGTTATGATTGATTCCAGTTGTTGAAAGTGCAGAAACCTGATTTTGTGCTAGCTTCTGATTTCTCGTTTGTTACTTTTTATCAAACTGAAGTGATGTTGTCAGTTAGTTATGTGATTTTTTCTTCAGTTATTGGGACCAAGCTTGTGTGTGAAGGTGATGATCATGATGCTTCTGGCAGTTCTTATAGATCGAGAGACTTTCTAGTAATTTTAAATTTAGTAACACCCATGTGCTCTCTAAACTGTTTAGGAGGGAAAGGAATAGGAGGAAAAATATCATTTACTCACAAAACTCTCCTCCCAAATGTGGGAAGAAAGGGAAAGAAAATCTGAAAGGAGTTTGTAATCTTTTATGACAAAAATACCCTCATAAGGATAAGTGAGAAAATAAATATAAAGGGTATATTTGTAAAGATGACATCTCTCTTTTCTTTTCTCTGCGGTTCAAGAACTTGAAATATTGTTCCCTTTCCATTCCTTCCCTTCCCTTTTAAGTGCACAAATGAAAAACGTCCTTCTTTCCTTTATTTTTTCTTTCTTTTCTTCCCAAATTCAAGAACACAGTGTTAATTGTTTTAATGGACCAACTAGAATCAGTGAACTTTGGGATCTACAGCATGTTAGCCTGTGAGCTCTGCTGATTGTTGGTTGCACTATCTTTTAGAATCGGGTTTTTAGCTTAAAGTTAACACACCGATTACTTTGATGCCCTTTTTTCTTTAAATGAATTATTGCATTTGCATGCTTACAGGAATGCGATGCCAAAAATCTTTAATATTGACTATGCTTTTATGTCTGAATATAAATGTTCTACAGAGTTGTTGGGGCCCTAATGCGCCTGTAGGAAAGAGTGCTAGTAGCAAACTTGCCAAGCAAACTGCTTTAGCTTTTGTCAAACGGACATTAGAGCGATGTCAGGAATTTGAAACAACAGGCAAAAGCTGCTTCACTGAGCCATTATTTAGGGAAATGTTCATCTCCGGATCATCACACCTCAACGATGAACAATTAGTTGCTGTGAATGATGTTGGATCTGGTCAAATCTATGGAAATTCCATGGAAAGAGTTTCAGGTACTACATAACTTGTTTGGGTTTTGTAATCGGCTCTTTCACATTCGTTTACACCTCTATTATTTGGGGAAATTAACAAAAGTAGCCATTTTGACCGACCAAATTCACCTCTTAGCCATTTCTCTCCCACTTTTTCAAGAATATCAACACCTCCGCAAGTGCCAAGACGCAACTTGCAGAGGGGGCATCTTTTTCTACAAAAACTCGAGTGCTGTGGAGGGGGGAGTTGAAAAACTGAAGTTCCAAACTTGCGGAGGTGCTTTTCATAAAAAAACTTGAGGAGGTGCTTACAGAGACAAGTTGTGGCTCCATTATGGCAAAAGTAGGAAGGATGCACCAAATTGACCTTCTTGCGGAGGTGCTACACATGGCCACATGGCCATAATGTGGCCTCACTTTTCAAGACAACATCCTCAAACTTGTTCTTTTTCTCTTTTTTTTGCCCGTCCTCTAGTTGCGACCCAGGCACTTGCAGAGGGTGACCTTTGAGCAAAAGTAGGAGAGAAATCGCTAAGCGATGAATTGATACGTGGAAAAATGGCTATTTCTATCAATTTCCTCTATTATTTGTGCATTTGGTGATGTGGGTCTCTTCTCATTTGCAATGACATTAGGTACACAACCGAGTCCTTCATTAAGCAATCATGACATATATTTGTCTGTAAACCACTCATCCGAGCAAACTATTGGCAAAGATGAGATATGGTCAAGCAGGGTCAAGAAGAAGGAGTTGTATCTTGATGATGTTGTTGCTGGTACTTCTGCAGGAACACCGACTAGCACCGGAACAGCGAGTCTGAATGGTGCAAAAGGAAAAAGGAGCGATAGAGACAGAGAATGGAAGGGTAACGGTTCATTTAAAGTTGGGCGGCCTGCATCCAGCAGTGCCAAGGGTGAAAGAAAGGCGAAAACAAAGCTTAAACAGAAAACAACTCAGTTATCTGCTTCTGTCAATGGTCCATTGGGCAAGATTTCAGATCAGCATAAACCAACAGTGTCTTCAGTACCAAAGTCGGTTGAAATAAAAACCAAGGAAAACGACAAATACGAGTCGTTGGAAGATTCTGAGGAGCCACTTGATTTTTCGCACCTGCAACTTCCTGAAATGGATGCTCTTGGTGTTGGAGATGATTTTGGAGAGCAAGGGCAGGATATAGGTTCGTGGTTGAATATCGATGAGGAAGTATTACAGGATGATGACTTTATGGGTCTCGAGATTCCAATGGATGATCTATCGGAGCTAAATATGATGGTTTAAAGTCGGTTTTCATGTATAGACATGTTCAGTATACTACCTACAGATGAGAATGTGACGTTCAAGTGATTTTCCATTCGGTAATTAGGCTACAGATTCTTTTTTAGAACCCCTGAAGAAGTTAATATTTGAGAGAACCCTTTGGATGTTTTTTCCGGATTTTGCTGCTATTTTAAGATAGTGACTTTTAGACTGTAAAAATCTTTTTGTCTTTACCTACGAGCTAGTTTGCTCCTCTCACCATATCTTAGGAAATACTGTATTCTGGTTGTAGCATTTACAAATTGGGGCACAACGACCCTTGTACATACAACTTATGTTTTTCAATAAGATAGGTTCATTTATAAGATAAACAAGTCCATAATCATATAAAGAACACATATTTTGTGTTGGTTCTATCTTTTTCTTCATATACATATTCTAACAGCCTCTTCAAGTTCTTTTGTCCATATACAGTTGCAAATGTGGTAAAGAACTGGCTTCTGTGGCTGCATTTTGATGAATAGTATATGAAGGTATGGAATCTTTTCTTTATACGAATATAAGCACGGAATCAAAATATTGGTACTTACACCTGGGAGGGTTTGTATGGGGCCCTGAAGAGATAAGTTAGGAAAATCCCCGGTGGCCCTGAGGTGACTCGAACCGGCAACCTATGGGGAGGAGCCCCAAGGCGTAGCATTTATTTGCCGGTTGAACCGGCCCTCAAGTTTTTTTTGGAAGGGACTAATGCCGGCAAATTGTGGCTGCAAGAAATTAGCCCTAATAAACTCAGTGGCCACAATTGTTGTGTATGCCTAGAATCGAACCCTGGATAGATGGGATGTTCCACCACATCCCCCTGGACCTCAAGGTTTCTGGGAGGTTTCTTGTTACTTTGATGAATGGATATTGATGAGTTTCTATACTTTGTGGTTATTTGAAGTTTTGGTTTGTAATTGATCAAGAGCACCGGGAGAAGGTTTTACTACATTGGAGGTGTTGATTCTTTGGTAGCAGCTTTATGGGGCTGTTTGGTTGGTTTTCCTTTAAGTTCTGTATGGATAAATCTGTCCGTGTGGATTAATGTCTATATAGATTGGGAAGGTTTTTTCATAGATGGAAGGAGTATGTTTTTAATTGGGAGGGGCTGGTTTGGGAAAAACTTGGCTTTATGCATAAAGCAAGCTTACTGAATAAGCCACTTTCTTTATCATTAAGTCACTACCCAACAGTCGTATAGCTGACCGAATAAGCTGCGAGTCCCATTAAGCTGATTAAGCTGCTAACAGACAGGCCCTATATGCTGCTGTACATGTTCGGATGGGAGAACCATGGTGCCTTGTGCAAGTCTGGATGCTTCACTCCCAGGTTCGCAACAATATCTTTTTTCCTTACTTGGTCCATGAAATGATGGATTCTTATTTTAAATCATTTGTGTCAGTTTTACTCTTATCTTTGAAAAAAATTCTTTCATATCTTCGTTAAGCTTTTTATTCCTCATATGTTGAATAAGGTGAAACCATCTACTTCGGCTCATTTTTTTACTCTATCCTTGAATTGTCCATGAATGATCCTTTTTAAGACCACTATTTTAGGCAAAGTTCCATCGTTACTATTATTCATAATGAATATTGTGATCCACTATACTCTGTCTATGTGCTTTTAATTGTGTATATATATAGATATAGAGGCTGTTTATTTTACAAACCATAATCAATGTTTATATTAGGAAACATTCGAGATATTTATGGAAAATTATCTTGATTCATTAGTTATGATTGAGATATATATGGAAGATGACAAGTTCATTCATTATGGTCATGGTTTTATATTAGGAAAGAAAATGGAATCAAATATTTAATAGACTAGATGGAAGGTGAAGATTGGTTTGTAAGAATTACATGGTTTGTAAAATAAACCTCCTCTGTGTATGTGTGTGTATATACATATATAGGGGACATTTTACAAATTATCCAATTTTAACAAAACATACAAACCGATTTCAGCTGTCCATCTAGTCTAATAAATATCTGATTTCATTTTGTTTCCTAATCTAAAGCCATGATCCTAATGAATGAACATTATCATTTTTTATAAATATCTCAATCATAATTAATGAATCATGGTAATTGTCTATAAATATCTCTATTGTTTCCTAATATAAGCATTGATTATGGTTTGTATAGTTTGTTAGAATTGGATGGTTTGCAAATGAAATGTCCCCTATATGTATATATATCTGTGAATGTGAAGCTCAAATGTCTCATATTTTACAGGACCTTTCAGAGAGAGAAGTGGAGTGCTTCAACTTGATTCTTTTGGACAGTCTAAAAGGATATGAAGTTGCATAGCCCCTTTACATCTTTGAGCTCGTATTGCAAAGGTATGTGCTTCATGCTCACCATTTGTTTTGTTAAACATAGGAAATAAACCCCCTCGCCATAATCGTTCAAGTGTTACAAATCAATATTTGCATCATGGTATCGTTGTTAAACTATGTGTGTGTGTGTGTTATTGTGTGGTGGGTGAGAGTGATGGCACTATAAAAACCCTATGCCATTAAGTTTTGATGGCACTATATTCTCCAATTTGTCAATGCTTTGTTGGTAAACCCAACTTTTGATGTCTGTTTTACACTTATTCTTTGCACAAACCTGCTGAAAAACATTTCGGTGAAGTCAACTTTTTATACACTTATTGTATCAGTAAAACATGTCATTGAAGTCAAATTTCGTTTCTTTTTCTTTCAACAAAAAATATTGAAACCATCATCTTTTACTTGCTCTCTAGAGAATGGAGGTGAGACTTGAATTCTTGGCCTTGCATCACTTCTGACCCGATTCTAATACACTATAATGGGTAGTAAAAGGTAGGGAAATTGTCCAAAATAATCATTTTAATCCCCCCTCCCGCCCCCCCCCAAAAAAAAAGAATCACTTCATAGAAGCTTTTTTTTTCCTTCATAATTGACAGAAATAACCAAGATTTCGCAAGCAACACTTTAACAACTTGGTGAAGTCCACTTTTTATGAATATAATATTCATCAAGTAGCAATTTTCACAAGTTGCTAAAGTGCTACTTGTGAAATGCTGAAGTGGAAGTGCCTAATACGCAACTTTCTAAAGTGATGTTGAAGTTGTTACTGTGCTACTTGCCATGTCAGCATTTCGCAAGTAGCACTTTAGCAACTTGCAAAAATTACTACTTTATGAATATTATATTCATACTGTGGATTTCGTCAAGTTGTTAAAGTGCTACTTGCGAAATCTTGTTACTTTGGTCACTTGAGTAGAAAAATGACCATAAAATGAATTAGGGAGTCCTGACAGTTTCCCTAAAAGGTACAATCTTTTCCTGAAGTGAAAATGGCCAAATTGAGAGCAATAACTTCTAATACTTATTACACGTGCACCAGAAGTTGTCAACTATGGGTTTGTTCCTTTAATGTTTGTTTGGTACGTAGACAGGACATGACTGGACTGGACTGACGAGAGTGAGATAAGCAGGTGAAAAAACCGTGGAAGGTTTTAAGGTTTTAATTTGACATGGGTGTTCGGTAATTTACTTATCTTGTCCCATTTCCCCGAAAAACTGCATTTTTGTCTCACTTAGTCCTGTACTGTCTCAGTCTGATTGTCGTGCTAAACATGAGACAACAAGTTTTGTTCTGTCATGTCCTGCATACCAAACGCACCCTATTACCTGGAGAAAAAGGTCTAGTCTAGCGGAAGGTCACCAGGATTAGGAAAGATGTTATCTTGATCACACAACAAATGGTTTTGGTATTTTGAATCTTGTGTTTTGTCTATGGTGTTTGTGGAGTGGAAACCTGCAGTTTAAAAAGCATATGGTGGGGTTGGTATCAGTCAATTCTTAGTTCTCTTTTTCTTCATGCTTCTTGTCTCAGTTTAGGTTAGTGTTTCTTGGGGGAAATGAACAGAAATATCCATCTCGGATGGACCAATTCACTTCTTAGCCATTTCTCTTCCAGTTTTACCATTTTATCAATACCTTCGCAAGTGTCCTTGTTGCAACTTCCGGAGGGTGGCATTCTATGAAAAATTAACTATAATAATCAACTTAAGTCTTATAAAGCTGTTTCACGACATCTAGGCATATTTGGCGTTTAATAAATCCGATTTTGTTATAGTAAGTGTTCCATTTTTACAGACTTGATGTTGATGTAGCGCACAGAAACCCTTTGCAATTATGTTGTTGTCACATGTATCTGGTGCATCTATACTTTGCTATCTTAAACTTGCATTTACGCTCTTCCCCAAAATCGAACACAAATATTTTCATATTACTGAAGGTGTTTTTCGTCAAATAACACGACGATTAGGTATCATCTTCAAACTCTAGCTGGTTTTTATGAGGAAAATGACTCATTCATTTATTTGACAAGCAGTACGTAAACCTAACCAAACAAACCCAATATATTTCATTCGAAGATGGGTCTGTAGAAGGTGAGATGTACACAAACCTGACCTTCATGTCAAAAATAGAGCGGTTGTTTCCTTGAGTGGTGATATGTGTAATAGCAATAACTTTATATGGATATGTTTATGAAGATAAAGAAAATGAAAAAAGGGGTTGCATGCCAAATTTTGATATCCCATTCTTGGACACCAAATGATTCTGAAAGAGACTGGAGATATTGGACCCAAAAAGGGGAGATTCCCAATCATCAGACATATAGATGGTCTGAGTGACATCTTTTACAGCTGTTTAAATGGGGATCTAAGTATATATCTAACCCCATTTCGTGTCAGATTTAATGGGTTTGTTTGATTTGATCTGGTTTATTAAATATATATCTGAATGGACTAATGTGTGATTTGTTCTGATGTGTGGCTATTCTTAGATTATAGCAATGGATGAGAAGCAAAACTTTGATGTTATGCTACTTGGATCGGTTCTTCAAATAATTCCTTGGTTAATATGATCATTCGACCAAACAGGTCGATTGCCCCGCAACATCTAGGTTACTGATAGATCACGATTTTCGTAAACGTCAAGGGCTCCATTAAAAGTGGGGAGTGTGCGTGATTAAAGACGTCTGAAAAACCGTCTTCAGCGGTGTCCAATTACAGTGATGGTTGTATAGCTAATCTCGCTAATATCTCAGATCGAGGGATAACTTATCTGAAAGTGTATCCAGTCATTGCAACAAAATCGGGTTTATAGAACGTTACAGATGTTTTAAGTGTCCTAATGGAATGCTTTACATGACCAAATAATTGTTTGTTTTATGTAAAAGGGTTGCAATAAAATTATAAGACGTTTTTGGACGTTTTAAGAAGGTTTCAAGGGCATTTCAAGTAAAAAGTATCCTATAAATTCTTTATGACATTATTTGAAATGGGTTCTATAAAAGAACTGTTCATATAATACTCTCAACTCTCAAGTGTCCTGTAAGTTTTAAAAGTCTCCTAAAAACTTGTTAAAACATCCAAAAGTGTCTTATAAATCTATTGCAATATTTTTGAATATCTGATGCACAATTGTTTGATTCTATAAACTAAAGTCATATAAAATTGTGTATCAAGACATTTCGATATTTTTAATGTATTACAAACCTGAATTTATTGTAGTGAATTGCTCAAAGTTATATGTCGGATTACAGGCCCGATTATATTGTAGTGAACTGCTTACCAAAATTATATGCTAGATGACGAGATTCGTTTGTATTAGTTTAATGAAAAAGGTCGATTTATAAATACAGTTGAATTCATATCAGGGACGGACCTACTTTGGTGGTACAGCTGGCACGTGCCATTGTATTATTCCTCCGTTGAAAGGTAAAAAATTCAGGCTCGTGAAAGGTGCAACCGTATTAATTTGTTGTGTGTCACCATATATATTCTGAAACTACAACGAGAATAAATTTTATTTGGTATAGTTGGTTTGCAAGACATTTATTCCACTACAGACCCAAGTTTGAATCCTGTTAGTGCAATTTTCTTAGTTAAATGGTGTTACCATTTGAAAAAAAAAATTATGTATATTTGTTTCTTATAGTCAAACGTTGTCACCGTTCGAAATCTTTTCCCTATATTTTTTATTTTCTTATAGTCAAAATGTGCCATTGTTTGAAAAAATTTATGGGTCCGTCCCTGATTCATATTCGAATCTAACCATTTTTTATATAAAAAATAAATGTAGTTACGAGAGAGGAGATGATATACATGTTGGAATTGGATTGGGGGATATTAGGGGTGTACAAAAAACTGTCTAACCCGTGAACCCGTCCAACCCAATTAAACCCAACCCGCTTATCCGTCAAACTGTTAATCCGTCAATTAGAAGGGTTGAAATTGGGTTGAGCTAGCCGCCGCTAATATATAATTTTTATAAAATTATATATATATATATATATATATGTGTGTGTGTGTATATATATTAATAATGTATAAATTTTATATAATTTTTATTGATATTATGTTTGTATTTCATTTTAGCTAAACGTATAGGTTACCAAAAGAGATTCATGATCAAAAAATGATGACAAATAATCTAATAAATAAGAGAAAATTATTGAAATCTTTTTTGCAGCAACAAAAAATTGATATGTCGGAGAATATGAATGATATATTGATAGATATATGATTGACGAATCCATCAATTTTAAATACCCCGTCATTTTTATGTTATACTTTAGTAGAAAGAAAATGCTTAGTTATAGCATTTCGCTACAACAACATTAGATCTTAGGATGCCTAAAATGTCTAAGCGTTCTAATATGATACTTTATAGAAAGAAACAAGAAAAATGTCTTATCTAAAATAGTTACAATATGTTTATCGGATGATTTTGGGTGTCTTAACAAATTTTATGACGTTTTTAAAATAAAGTGTCACGTTAGTTATTTTATACGAACACGACTTGAAAAGTGTCATATGAACATATGTGTCATATAAATAGACGAGTTTACAGGACACTTCTCAAAATGTTTCTATAAAATAACTAATACGACATTTTATCAAAAATCATTCTAAAACACCTGTTGAAAACGTCCGAAAACGTCATATAAACCTACTGTAACCTTTTTAGATATCATGTTTTATAGTATGGTCTATAAATTTAAGTTTTATGAATTATTTAATTCGTCAAATTTATGTAACTACTAACCCGCCAACCTAACCCAACCCGACTCAACCCGCAAGGGTTGGGTTGAGATTTTTCCAAACCGCCATAATTGGGTTGGATTGTAAAGAAGTTGTAAATCGCCCAACCCAACCCAACCCAACCCAACCCGCATACACCCTAGGGGATATAGCTCAGTTGGTAGTTACATAAATTTTTCAGTTTTCAGTTTTTTTGATTTCATATCGAACTTTCCAACACAGTTTCTTGATTTTCGGGTTTTTTTTAAACATATACCCCTTACCGCTCTTTAGCATTGACCTTAAGGCAAGTTACTAATCAACCAGTTCGACTAATATCCACCTTAATTCCCTCATTCAGAACAGATGGAACCAGGTTATGGATCTGTTCAAGTTGGTCGATCAATCCCTCCTTTGTTTCCCACTCGGAAATCTGACAGTAGAACCCGGGGTCGTCACCCATGGGACCCGTTCTTACCACAATTTCATAATATGTCTGTCATTACATGTGACGACCCGTATGTTCGCTTCTGACAACTAGCACCAAAAACCAATAATTGAACATTAAGTCAAACATCTTTGAAATTATCGTAAATAAACTTTCAACTGTTTGACCATCTACTAAAAAGACTTGGTGCCCCCTTTGTATATGAAGTCGTTCTCTCGAAGAAAAAAGTGGAAATTCAAGAGGAAGAAATCATAACGAGAAAAAACCACTGACAGATGTTACATCTGCCACAAAAAAAGGACACTTCACCAAGGATTGTAAAAACAAGAAG